TGGGTACAGCATCTCAGGTGTGCAAGATGCAAAGAGTTCTGGAGATAGATGGTGGCAGTTAATGCTGATGAGCTACACACTTAAAAATGTTTATTAATATGGTAAATGTTACGTTATCTGTGTTATACTACAATTAAAAACACTGTTGAGAGGGGCGCCTGGGTGGCTCAGTCACTAAGCGTCTGCCTTTGGTTCAAGTCATGATCCCAAGGTTCTGGATGGAGCCCTGTCTCGAGCTCTCTGCTCAGCAGGAAGCCTGCTTCTCCCTCTCTCACTCCCCCACTTATGTTCCCTCTCTCGCTGTCTCTCTCTCTGTCAAATAAATAAATAAAATAAAATAAAATCTTAAAACAAAAACAAAAACAAACCACTGCTGAGAAAGACAGTCTTACATGCACTGTTCTTCGAACCCCACTTGGCCACATAAGAATGGGCCTTAGGCCTGGAACATGTGCTTACCAACAGATAAAGAGTCCACATAGCCTGTGCTGGGCTTACCTCCTTGCTCTGAAATACCTTTCCCTGTTTCAGACTAAATGTGTACTCCTTTGTCCTGCTTAAGCATGTGTGTCAATGGTCCTCAGGCATGTCCCCAGCTTTCAGCATCTTTGACGCCACAGGAATGGGGTGGGGTGGAGGATCCCTTTGCTGAAGCACAAGGAGTGTGTGTAGGCCAAGGGCCCTACATAGGCTGCCAGGAAGTACCCACTGCTGGCCACAGGGAACTGACACTCACTACCAAACCTGATCGTGCTGTGTCTCTTTTTTTATGTGAGTAAAGCACTATTAAATCCAGTGCTTGACTGCACTGTGATTTCTTGGGAACTTCATAGTAAGATGCACTGCACTGGGCAGAACTGCTTGGACTTCTTCTGATAATCAGCAACAGATGACACTTGACCATGAAAACTACTCACAAAGAAAGCCCCAGAACCAAATGGCTTCACTGGTTGAGTTCTACCAAATGTTTAAAGAAAAATAAACATTACTCTTTGATAAATAAACATTACTCTTCCAAAAACTAGAAGAGGAGAAAACTTTCCAACTCCCTCTTTGAGGACAGAATTATCATTATACCAAAATCAGACAATGACATTATAAGAAAATACTATAGACCAATATTCCTTAAGAATATAAATTCAAAAATCCTTAACAAGATACAACAAATTGAATCCAGCAACATATAAAAAGGATTACACATTAAAACCAGGTGGAATTATCTCAGCAATACAAGACTGGTTCAACATGCAAAAATCACTTAATGCAATACTCCATAATTGTGGGATAATGGATTTAAAAGCATGACCATTTCTTTTTCTTTTTTTCTTAAAGATTTATTTATTTGAGAGAGAGAGAGAGAGCATGAGGTGGGAGAGGATCCAAGGGAGAGGGAGAGAATCTTAAGCAGACTTTGCACTGAACATAGAGCATGACATGGGGCTCGATCTCACAACCCTGAGATCATGACCTGAACTGAAATCAGGAATCAGACACTTAACCAACTAAGCCACACAAGCACCCCGAATGACCATTTCCATAAACACAGAAAAACCACTTGAAAAAAATCTAATGCCTTTTTATGATAAAAATACTCAACAAACTTGGAGGAGAAGGGGACTCTGACAACCCAATAAAGGACATCCACTAAAATCCCACAACTAATACCACGCTTAATAGTGAAAGACTAAGAGCTTCTCCTCTAGGATCAGAAGCAAAAGAAAGATGTCTGCTCTCACCACTTCTATCTGACACCATACTGAAGGGTAGCCAGGGTAGTTAAGCAAGGAAGAGAAACAAAAAGCATCCAGATTGGAAAGAAAGAACTAAAACTACATCTATTTGCAGGTGCCATGATCTATCTAGAAGACCTTAAGGCGTCTACGAAAACCTATTAGGGTTAAGATACAAGTTTAGCAAGGTAGGAGGATACAAAATCAATACACAAAAATCATTTAGATTTCTATATGCTATCAACGAACAATTAAAAATGAAATTAAAAGTTCAATATACAATGGTATCAAAGAATATTTAGGAATAAATTTAACAAAAGAACTGTAAAACTTGAACATCAAAAACTATAAAACATCACTGAAAAAAATTAAAGATGATCTAAATAAATGGCAAGATACTCTGTGTTCATGGAGTGGAAGACTTAATATTGGTAAGTTCGCAGTACTCCCCAGACTGATCTCTAGATTCACTGCAATCTGTATTAGAATCCTAGCTGGACTTTTTTTGGTGTGTGTGTGCAAATTTGGCAAGCTGATTATAAAATTCATATGAAAATCCAAGGGACCCAGAATAGCCAAAATAATCTTGAGAAAGAATAAAGCTGGAGTACTCACATGCCTTAATTTAAAAACTTAACTACAAAGCTAAAATAATCTAGAATAGTAAAGTAAAAGTAAGCAAGTACAGTCGGATATTGCCACAAGGATGGGAAAATAGATCAATGGAAGAGAATCAAGAGCCCAGAAATGCATTTCATGGTCAATAAATTTTTGACTAGAGTGCCAAGAAAATTCAATGAGAAAGAATAATCTTTTTAACAAATGTTGCTAGGACTAACTGGATATTCACAATGAAAAGAACAGTTTAGACTCTATACCATACACAAAAATGAACTCAAAATAGATCAAAAACTTAAATGTAAGAGTGAAAATTATAAAGCTCTTAGAAGAAAACAAGTGTAAATTTTCAATAGTTTCTTACATATGACATCTAAAGCAACCAAAGGAAAAAACAGATGAACTGAACTTCATCAAATTTTAAAACTTTTGTGCCTCAAAGGACACTACCAAGAAAATGAAAAGACAACTGACAGAATGGAAGAAAATATTTGCAAATCATACATCTGATAAGAGCCTAGTATTCAGAATATAAAAAGAATTCTTAAAACTCAACAATAAAGCGGCGCCTGGGTGGCTCAGTGGGTTAAGCCTCTGCCTTCGGCTCAGGTTATGATCTCAGGGTCCTGGGATCGAGCCCCGGATCAGGCTCTTTGCTCAGCACGGAGCCTGCTTCCCCCACTCTCTCGGCCTACCTGTGATCTCTCTCTGTCAAATAAATAAATAAATCTTTAAAAAAAAAAAAAACAACTCAAAATAAAAACACAAGTAAGCCAGGTAAAGATAGACAAAGGATTTGAATACACATTTCTCCAAGAAAGGTATACCAATGGCCAATGAGCACATACAAATACTGTCAACGTCATCAGTCATTAGGAAATCTAAATCAAAACTAAAGAGATACTGTTTCTCACCAGGCTATTAAAAAAAAAAAAGACACACAATAACAAGTGTTGGCAAAGACATGGAGGAATTGGAACCCTCATACATCGCAGCTATACAGGTAAACGGTGTGAAATCGAATGCAACAGTTTGGTAGTTCCTCAGAAAATTACACACAGAGTTACCATATGGCCCAGCAATTTAACTCCTAGATCTATACACTCAAGAGAACTGAAAACGTATGTCCACACAAAAACTTGTACACAAATGCACAGGGCAGCATTATTCGTAACAGCCCCAAAGTAGAAACATCCCAAGTGCCCATCAACTGATGAATGAATGAATGAAATGTGGTAGGTCTGCACAATGGATTATTATTTGGCCATAAAAAGGGATTAAAATACCGATACATGCTACAACATGGATAAACCTAAGTATAAGAAGGCAGGCACAAAGGTCACCTGCTGCATGATTCCATTTACATAAGAAGTCCAAAATAAGGAAATCTGGAGACAGAAAGTAGATTAGTTGTTGCCACAGACTAGAGGAAAGAAGGAAGAGCGAGTAGCTGCTAACAGCTAAGGTTTGTTTCTGGGGTGATCAAAATGTTTTGGAATTAGTGATGGTGAAGTGGCACAACCTTGTAAATATACTCAAAACCACTGAATTGTATATGTCAAAATGGTGAGTTGTATGGTGATTAAATATGCCATCTCAATAAATACGTATTTTAATGAAACTGAATTTAGGACACATGACATACCTTATTATAGTAGCAAGGTACCAGTGTTGGCTTGTTAAAAAGTCTTGCAACACATGAACTAGTTGCTTTAATGATAGACTGAGAATCCCCCCAAATGAACTGAGTATAAAAAAAAAGTCGAGGTTTTTTTTTTTATGGTTTTATTTATTTATTTATTTGACAGACAGAGATCATAAGTAGGCAGAGAGGCAGGCAGAGAATGAGGAGGAAGCAGGCTCCCCACTGAGTAGACAGCCCAACGTGGGGGCTTGATCCCAGGACCCTGGCATCATGACCTGAACTGAAGGCAGAGGCTTTAACCCACTGAGCCACCCAGGCACCCCAAAAGTTGAGTTTTAATGTGCTAGACACTGAAAAACTGAATATGTAAAATCTAAAGACTGCTTTGATTTAAAATGGGTAAATAACAATGACGACACCATTTCAGGGATAGGGTACCAAGGAATCTGCATTTTGCCCAAATATTCAGATCAAGAAAGAGTTACCAACATAGAAATGAATGAAAAATACAGATGAAAGGAAAGGGCTAGAGTCCAAAGAAAACTAAACACATCTTGGCTAAACAGCTGTGTTGAAAAACAATTTCTTATCTTGCAATTAAGAACCGATTTCTTTCTAAAAGACACAGGACATTGGGTTAATAGATTTCTTTAAAAGAAAATCTGTTTTGGCTATTGAAACATTAAAAGAACAGAACATCTGTTTTGCAAGTAAAGACAGATTGTAGGGAAGAATCAAATATCAAACCACAGATTAGACCAGCATTTAATCTGTTCTATTTAAATTTTCAATAAAAGTAAATGAAATTACACTCTTGAAATTATAGCTCAGCTGTAAATATTTAACACCAGGAACCTCTAACACTGAGATGTTTTAGAGTATAAAGGAGATAATTATTAGTATATTTTAATTATTTTTAATTCTATTTGACATCTATATCAGAACCAGGTTTTAAAGTATGCTACCTCCCAAATCATTTTTAAAGTATTATAATAGGGAAAACTCACCATCCATGAATTCTGTACATATTGAAATCCTGTTTTCTACGAAAAATGCACCATAAAACCCTATGATATATGATGAATCACACTGTAAAAAAATAAGACAAAGGTGGTTAAAAAAACAAACAAACCTGCAAGCCAATACCATAAGATGCTTTATGAGAGAAAATGCCCAAGAAAAGATTACCTTATAAAGAATTTCCAATTCAGACATAATTTGCTTCTGAAGTTCCAGTGTAATATCTAGTAGTATGACCTAAATACACAAAGGAATCAACATTTACAAATATATTCACCTTTAAATTAAGTATAGTTATACTCACTATGAAATATAAAAAGGAAAAAATGTGTTTTTTCCTCTCTTCATTGCCCCTTTTTTTCTTCTCCACTACTATAACCCCCAGGAATACAAACTGTACTCACATTTGACTAACCCTTTGTATTGGGGGAGGTGGTACAGAAGTGATTGATGAGACCAAGGAAAAAGCCAGGTCTCAAAGGTCAGTATTAATGGCTTTAAAAGTCAGTTAAGTTATAACACCCTTAATTTATACACCCTATTTTGGCCACATTGGTTATTTCCAGAAAAGGAAGAAAGGAATGACCCTGAAACCATTAAAAAAAAAAAAAAAAGTCTTGTAATGCAGACACTAGGTGATAAACAGAGAGGATGAGGAGTAAAAATAACATTTAAAGTAGGTTTTTTTTTTTACTATGAGGAAATAAAGAGTTTTAAAAACATGTCACCTTTTTATATCTTTCAAAGTCATGTTCCTTTGCTAATACTGTAATAAAATGCTGGAGCTTGAAGGAGCCACAGAAATTATTTCATCTAATTTTCTTGTTTTAAAGGAGGAAACCAAGGTGCTGACAAGCCACACAGCCTGGCAATGTCAAGGTCCCTCCCTGATTCCCAGATGCCTCTTAGAATGTCCTGGTGGTTTACGGTTTTTCCTTGAAGTATCAACCACTGAGGAAGATTGGTAACATGGAAATGTAAAACAATTTACAAGCTTACTTAGAATAAAGTAATTTCAAACACTTGTTTCTTAAGAAAGGAAACCATCAACTGTTCAAATTTTACTCAACAGTTCAGTGAAGCCAATTCAAGGGAAATTGTTTTTACTTAAAAAAGTGCTGAGAATAAAATAGGTGAAAGATAATTTTTAAGATTTGTGGCAGAGTTTCTGGCTCTTGACATTTCTAGGAGAAAACTTAACATTCATGATTACCATGATAGCGTGGTTATACACCATCCAACACTGAACCACATTTTTTGTGGTTTTATTTTTTATTTATTATTTTTTATTATTTAATAAATTTTATAAATATTAATAAATTTAATAAAAATTAAATAAATAAAATATTATTTATTATTTATTTTTTATTATTTACAATTTTGTATTACAACCTCAGAATATACGCACTCACACTGGGAAAAAAAAAACCCATAAATTATGAATTGAAAACTGCTGACAGAGCAAGGAAAGAAAAGGATAATTCTAAAACACACATTTTATGGTACTGACATCCACTTGGGGGAGGGGAAAGTAGGAGGAAAAGGCATGGCCGGTTTCTATCAAGAGTTTTTGCTTTAGGGTTATTTGTAAAAGCTCTCACTAAACTGGATTGTAAGTGTAATACAAAACTGCCAAGAAGCATTTAAACATTGCTCCCGATCAATAGTCATTTGCCAACAATATTCACTTACATTTTTGTTCCTGTATAAAACTCAGCGACAAAATAAATTCATCTAGTGTTGTTTCAATTCCATGCCATAAAATACCAAAACTATTCACACCACTATGTCAAGTACAGGGACTCTTTCACCCCAAAAAAACTACTAAAAGGAATGAACTTATTATTTACCTCAGAGCAGTCATTCTCAACCCTGGCTTCACGTTATAATTACTTTTATATAAAGGTATTTATATCAATACATGAAGGTACTTTAAACAAATCCTGGTGTATAGGCCTTACCCCCAGAAGAATGGAATCAATCATGGGTTGGGCCCACATCTTAATATTTGTAAAAAACTCTCCACCTGATTTCTAACCCACAGTAAGGTTGAGAACCATTTGCCTAAGGTTTCGAAAATGCCATTTATTCAGTACTCTGTATGACTAATGAGACATACTGCATCTCTAGGCCCCCCTTCCAGAAATGATGGGATTCCACATGGTGAGCGAACACCTTGCCATTAACCCCACAGTACTGGCTGCAGACCTATCATTCCCTTGGATCAAGCACCTTAAATAGGTGCCCATGGCCTAGCATAACATTAAAATTCTAGCATGACATTCAAAGAATTCTTCCACAATCTAGTTATCCCAACTCCTTTTCCCACTCTCCCCACCACAAACCCAACTGTCATGTGAAGCCAGATGATATGAAAGGCAGCCATGCTCACCCCATACCACCCACGCAGAAACGGGTGCTTTGTACTGGTGGCCCACACACAGGTCCTGTGCTTTTCCCACTTTCAGTCTTTGCTTCTGATGTTCCCCCAACTTGAGGTGTGCCTCCTCACTCCACCCCACAGTTACTAATCATAAAAACCTTTCTCATCTTTTGGACCCAGCCTGAATGCCACTACCACCTCCATGAAGCCAGCCCCAAAGCCCTCTACCAGAATTTATCTCTAGCTCTGGCCCTTGATATTGTACCTTCTCACATTCAGCTGTGGCATTCATGCCTATCTACTAAAACCACAAGCCTAGAGAGTAAAGCAGCTGTAAGTCCCACGAAGGCAAGGACTGAGTCTCGGGCATCTTTCCCTGGTCCCCCTACTCCTACACCCAGCATCCCAAGCAAGGTCTTACTTATAGCAGTGCCCATGAAGTGATGTGGGATTTAATTACAGTGCTCCTTACAACCATAACCCTCTAAATAAGAAGCTGTTTCTAGACAGGAAGGAGGCTGCTTGATTTCTACCACTGAATTTATCACTGAAGGCAAAAACACCAAAATAAATAAAAGTGCCACACTGACCTAAAACGTAGCAAGTAATACTGTATTTGTGGGGCCAACCCACTGCATACCAGTGTGTCTGGATCATCCTTGGTATCTCTTATGATTCAGAATAGTGGAGATCCCATAATGGTGCAAAAGTGAATAAAGTACTTTCTGGAACTTAAGAGGGAATGTAAAATTCACCTTAAAATAACTTTACAGAAATGCTCTTCCATTTTCTGGGAGACTTGTAGGTAGAAGGTTAATTCTCCTTGGGCATTCCTGGGAGAGAGCTTTTAACTACTAAAAATAAGTCCAATTCCTTATTTGAAAGCAATGGAAAAAAGCCCGGCAAATTCCAATCTTTTTTTAAAGTACAAGGAAAGTATGGATTCCTGGAGTCTTCATTATTATTGTGATTTTTTTCCTCCTAAGGAAGAGCTCCCTTTTTCAAACTGGAGAGGATCTGCACATGAAGGATTTCAGGGAGAAAGGGTTAAGGGAGAAGCTAAAGTACCTGGGCGCGTTTCTGCTGCTCTCTACTACACCTCCAGGACAAATAAGGATGAGTTGTCAGGTTAAATACGAGCAGTCAAGTGACTGAATTATAATTTACTCTGTGCTCAATTTAAATTAGTGTGAGGCTATTAAAATATACAGTATAAATACGGCAATTCATCACAAGCTGTCATGGATGACTTCATTTATTTGCTGGAGTGGCACACGCTCCACTAAAGGGAAGGAGAGCAAAATCACAGGTCAAATTAAGCCTCTATTCTGTTTTAATTCGCTTACTTAATCTGTGGCGACATAATTGTCTTTTACAGTATGTACAACTCAGAAAGGAAATTTGGGAGGATTACAGTCAGTATACAAATGATTAATCAAATGGTCCATTTAAATGCTAGTTTAAAAGCAGCAGAAACCCAAAGCAGTCAAAGAATGATAATCAGCACATGCTATATACAAGCTAAGAAATTTCTTCTTAGGTGACTTTTTCCCAATTAGAAAATAAAAAAATAACAGGAAATCTATTAGGCTGTACTTTGAAAGATTTTAGAGAATACATTAGTGAAATAAAAAGGCTCTGTTTGCCAAGATGGCTAACAGTAGTTTTGTTTTCTGCTCTACCTGTTTGCAACTATCTCGCTTACCTCCACCCCTGCCCCCCCAATAAAGCGAGTTAGAAACACATTTCATGAGTTAGTCATTACCAAACAGTTATCTTTGGTTAGCATTTTCCAAAATGTTCTCTTGAAGGCAGAAATTTTTCTAAATTCACTGGTATAAAATAAAAACCCAAGGTATTTCTAGTCTTTTTAAAATACCAGAAAAAAGAAAAACCATTGGAAATGATGTTTTCCCACCTTTGAAGTCTGAAAGGGGAAACACTACAATATTCTTTTGTTAGTCTAAAAAAAGTAAGAACATTTAGAAATACAAAAAATAGAAATATTTTGAGTAGGAAGAGAAAAGGGATGGATTTTCAAGGACTCTCATCTAATTGCTCCCACAGACATTCAAAATGTTGGTCCAACTGACCACTTGGCTTGGGAAATTAAATTTCCCTCATCATTCTATGCGGGCATCAGAACCCTGCAGGTGATTCTGTTTAGACAAGGACTGTGATTTGCTGCTCTTCGCAATCCCTCTGTGACATGAGGCAGCCCCCTTGCACAGCTGAGGTCACGGAGAGGTTCAAGTGACATGCTTGAAGTCACACAAAAGTCAGGAGAGGGTCAGGAAAAGATCAAATGCACTTCTAACTCTTAACCTTTCATTTCACCCATACACACACACACACACACACACACACACTAAGAGCTACTCTAGGTGAAAGCAATGGTCCATACAAAGAACACTGTGGTTTATTTTGTATGTGAGCTGAACCTGCTTTCAAGATACTGCTTCAAAAGATGAATGAATGAAGAACAAATGAAAGAAATTTACTTATTCAGTCATTCAACAAATTATGTGTTGAACATCTAGTTATTACATGCAATCCTCTATGTAGGGCCAAGTGCAAGGTTCTGCATGATTCCATGAGTAAGACAAGAAGATAAATAAAATATGTTCTCTACTTACAAAGAGATTTCAATGTAAGGAGAGAATGCACATGTATATTAATAGCAAAATGCAAGGCAGTATGTGATAACCTCCATAAGAAACACATACGGAGAATTCTAGAGAGGTTCAAAGGAAAAAGTGAGTGAGTGATAGACCATATGTGACAGGATTTATCTATGTGAGTTCAAGAGAGGAGTGGGCTTTGGAGCTGACCCTTGAAGGGTGTTAAGAATTTTGATAGGTAGAGACATGGGTGAAGGCATTCTAATTAGAGAAAAAGACGTGAATCAAAGTGTTGAAGTGTGAAAGTACCTGGGTTCAGATAAAGAAATGAGTTCAACTTAAAAGCAGCACAGCATTCAGACACATGAGATAATGCTATAAAAAGCAGGCTGATGACATACTGTGGAAGACCCTGAGTTTCAGCCCATAGAGTTTTCAGTTTATTTGGGAGTAATGTAGAGTCCTGGAAGACTTTTGAGAGGGAAGGAGATGGGACCAGAACTATGCTCCGGGAAGGCAGATCTAAGGATAGTGAGCAGCAATATGGTACACAGTTTGAGAGCATGAACTTGGGGCAAGACTTGCCTGACTTCAAATTCTAGTTCTACTGGTTGTGGGACCTTCAGCAAGCTATTTATTAATTCATAATTAAATGAGGAAAGGGTCCACACAGCGCCTATCAGTACAGTATAAGTGATCAATAAATGGTAGCTTCCACTTTTGAGAGAGCACTTTAAACACGGTTCAGTGTCTGACAAGAGACAAAACAAGCACCTGGACTAGAGTGGTGACAAGAAAGGAAGAAATCCAAAACAAAACAAAACAAAACCGAACCCAGAAAGATTAACAGGCTTCCACATATTAACAACAGTTAAAACAAGGACAATGATCCTTGAGACATGGAAAACAAGTAAGAGGGGCCCTATGATTGTGTAGTTTACCAACTGGACAGTGTGCAGGCTTCTGTGCAGGGTAGAAATTTCAGGTAAAGCTCAGCCATCTCCCTATGCTGACAAGATGGAATTGGGGGTCTGAGGAAGCCAAGGCAGCGACAGTTCCCTGGCAGAAGGCCAAAGGGAGGGGGCTCCAGGGATCTGACTAGGGGCCCCTGGAGTCTTCAGCTGATTAATGATCAATTAGTACTGGATGTCAGGAAACCATGTGAGGGCAAGGAAAGAGCCACCAGAAAGGACCAGAGGAAACAATCTCCAGATCTCACACTAAGTAGAAGGAGTCTTTGTTCCCACAAGGGAGGGGGGAAACCTCATAACTGTCAGAGCACTGGTAGAATATACAGAAGACAGCTGCCTTAATTGAGTGGGGTAAATTAGTTCCCAACTAACCACTGGGCTGGTCCCAACTAATAAAGCTTAAAAGCAAGTCTTGAAAGGATCAAACTGTTTCAAAGTCACTAAACAGCATCTCAGAATAAGCTCAAGAATATTTATAAGAATGAAAAAAAAAAAATCTGGTGTCTATGATGCATGATGAGCATCCAATCTTAATGATAAGATTTTTTAAAAAATAAGAAAATACTGGGCACCTGGGTGGCTCAGTAGCTTAAGCGGCTGACTCTTGATTTCAGCTCAGGTCATGATCTCAGAGTCCTGGGATCGAACCCCGCGTCAGGCTCTGCGCTCAGTATAGAGTCTGCTTCAGGATTCTTTCTCCCTCTGCACCTCTCCCTACCTGCTCACTCTCTCTCTAAAATAAATAAAAATAAATCTTTAAAAAAAAATAAGAAAATACAACCCAAAATGAGGGGGGAAAAAGCAATCGTCAAAACTGACCCCAAATGCTACATCTGATGGAATTAATAGACAAAACCATCAATTCAGTTAATCATATTCCACATACTCCGTAACTACATTACATATATTCAAGAAGACAGAAGGAAAATTGAGCATGTTAGGTAAAGATGTGGAAGATGTAAAAAAGACATATAAACTTCTAGGGATAAAAAGTACAGTGTCTGAAATGAAAAATACAACAAACAAGATTAACAGCAGATTAGACAATGTGGACGAAAACCTGAGTATATGACAACAGAAACTATCCAAAAATGAACCATTAAAGAAAAAAAAAAAGACTAAGAGAGAAAAAGAGACTGATATAGCCTTTTACTTACAGCCTGTTGTGTCTTTTTATTTGAAATAAATTTCTGCTAAGATTTAATTAAAAAAACAAAAACAAAAAAACGCCTGTTTTGAAGAAATGGCACATTTCTTTCTCTCTACTCTCCACAGTAGGACTGTTAAATAAGTTACATGGTTTTTGCCTTGGCTGCCAAGAAGCTCAGGGCTAAGTAAGAAGTTTATTTTTATTTTTTAAGATTTATTCATTCAGGGGCGCCTGGGTGGCTCAGTGGGTTAAAGCCTCTGCCTTCAGCTCGGGTCATGGTCACAGGGTTCTGGGATCGAGCCCCGTGTCAGGCTCTCTGCTCGGCGGGGAGCCTGCTTCCTGCAATCTCTCTCTCTGCCTGCCTCTCTGCCTACTTGTGATCTCTGTCTGTCAGATAAATAAATAAATAAAATCTTTAAAAAAAAAAAAAAAAGACTTATTCATTCACTTTAGAGAGAAAAAGAGAAAGAGCACGAGTAGGAGGGGCACAGGGAGAGAGAATCTCAAGCAGACTCCATGTGGACCGAGGAAAACGATGCCGGGCTTGATCTCAAGACCTTGAGATCATGACACAAGCCAAAACAAAGAGTCAGATGCTTAATGGACTGAGCTACCTAGGCATGCCTAATTGTATCTACTCTTTAATCATTCATTCAATCAACTCAGATAAAGTTTAAACGCAATAGTCATAACTACTCTTAAATCATTCCCTCAACTCAGTTTAAGCATTTAGTATGTTTATAAATTTTATAAAATCTAGGGATATAAAGTGAGATATAGTCCTCTCTCTATAAACTTAAAGCTCAGTTTAAGGTCAGGTCTAGTAGACAGCGTATTTGTAAATACCTACTGTTTTCATTTATTCAAAGTCTCTACTTTAGCAGCTCTTTATAAAATGTGTCTTCTTTTAAAATTGCTTTTAATCCTTTCCAGAAACAGCTGTTAGCACCTTGCCATACCCAACTAAATAATCATGCACAAGAATTTTAATATTAGCCTAGCTTAGACAAAATTCAAAATGTATGAAATTATGGGAAATTATAATGCACTTGCAAGGACAAATAGTTAAGTTTTGTAGATGATTTATAAGAGTGCCCCCTTCTCTTGGTGTGAACAAACTAAAGTTGACTGTCTTTAAATATTTTAACAGCAACAGTCTAAGAGTTATGTTATCTAAAGGAACAAATAACTCAACAGATGGGAAAGCAGTGCTTTAGGGGTGAAGGTACCCTCTGAGAGAGGAGGGAGCTGAATATCACAACAGGACCATAGCTTCCTAACCTACCATCCAACAGTTAAACCATTCCATCCCCTCTTTCATGATACCTGTGACTCAAGCTAACAGGGGAAAAGAAAGTAGTGAGCATCAAGAACTTCATGAATTTCGGGGTGCCTGGGTGGCTCAGTCGTTAAGTATCTGCCTTTGGTTCAGGTCATGATCTCAGGGTCCTGGGATCAAGTCCTGTGTCAGGCTCCCGGTTCAACAGGAAGTCTGTTTCTTCCTCTACCCCTTACCCCCCCTTTCTTATTCTCTCTCTCAGATAAATAAAATAAAAATAAAATAAATTAAAATCTTTTTAAAAAAAGAACTTCATGAATTTCATAAAATTTATTCAGCACTTACCTTTACAGCTAATATTTTCCCACTCGGGACATGATATGCTCTATGGGAAGGAAAAAAATAACAAAATCACTTGGGATACTAAACAACCAGCAGAATGGTTAAGGACATCAATGTGAATCTGAACATATCTGTAGCGATGGGATATATGATACTTTCAAAGAACACTAATAACATTAGCAGTTCATATTTCTATTGAGCTCCATGGTTTACACAGTGACTCATCATACATTACCTTAAAATAACCCTCTGAGGTAATGCTGGTATTATTATCCTCCCTTTATAGATGGAGAGTCCTGGGGTCCAGAAAAGCTAAGCAGTTTTCCCAACAGCACTAAGTCAGTAAGTGGCAGAACTATAGACCTCTTCTGACTCCAGACCCTTACAAACTGACCAGCACTGTGTGTGGCGGGGGCGGGGGGGGGGGGGCGGTAGGATCTTCTGAAGTCTTCTGCTAAGCACTGTATATAGAGCCATATAAAGTGGGAGGTTTTCCTTTTGTTTCCTTCAATTACAGGAACAGATACACTATATCCCTACATTTCATCAAAATAATCTCAGAACACTCGGAATTAGCTATGGATTAAGATATAAGTGGAAGAATTAGCTATGGCTTAAGATATAAGTGGGAGAAATATAAGAGATCACAGACTTATCAGGCTCAAGTATGTGGTTCATCTTTTCCTAAAGCTGGCATCTCTCAAAATTAAAAAAGCTTTAGAAAAAGAGACAAGCTCAAATGATCGGATACAGGGAAATAACTACAGTTTAAATCAAGGAACAGAAATACATTCATTTATGAAAAAGAGTTAAGGGAGTAAGGTTTGCAGAAATAAGATACCATTACTTCTCATTAAGACCCTTTGTGTTTAAATGACACGTGGTCTTCCACACAACTTCTACATGGGCCGTACATTCTGACCATTATTCAGGGACAATCTGTCTTATATAAAAATGTCTAGACAAACCGCACAAAATCAACAAGCACTGTTACTGGAAGTCTATGAAAGTACAGACTTGCACATCAGCCAAAAGCAGTGTTCTTCCTCTCACCCAGCTGTGTTACGATGTGATTGCGTGGGGAAGATGTAGGGGTGGGAATGGAAGTTAGCTTCTTGGGAATTCCCTTTTACCTGTTGAGTTGCAAAATACATTTATCAGGCTCCCAATGATGACTTGGCAATGATTTGGTAGGAAAAACTGCCCATTTCTTAAAATAAAAATAAAACATATATTCTCCTATTATCAAAAAGAAAACATCACTCCCTGTTGTTTTGGAAGAAATCTCTGGTTGCTCTGACAAATTTTTTAACAGCTTTACTGAGGTGCAATTACATATGTAAGAGTCAATGAAGTATGTAATTTAATGATTTTTTAGCAAATTTACAGAGTTTTACAATCACTGACAAGTGTTTTTTAAGTGACCAACTTATAGAAATGGTTTAGTTATTAAAGGCCTGCAAATATTTGTAACTTTCCCATATAAAATGTTATAAATTTAGGTAAGACTAGAAATATATATATGTATACATGTATGTAAATACTATATATATTAGTGTTAAAAAAGAAATGTGTTCTGCTTTTCCTATTTGAGTACACAAAGGTCAAGCCAACTACATAAGGTAAACTTAGCTTTTAACAATTAATTATAAATTAATTCAAGAATATCACATTTAAAGAAAGGCAAGATTATAAAAACTAAGTGGTGACTGTTCACTTTACTGAAGTTTTTTTAATCTGTAAGATGTCTAAAGATTTTCTCTAAATATCAACCTCCCTAGTATATTAAATACTAATAGAGTTATAAAACTTAAATTTTTAAAAAAATTTTTATACTTTACATAAAGTGGTATACATTTTATAAATGGAATCCCCATATTATACTAGTTTCAGAACAAGTTACCATTTAATTGTATGTTGTGTATATGTATGTTAATACCAGACTTTTATAATGTGAAACTACATTTCAGGTCATGATTTGATTCATGATATATCTGAACTCATATAATATACTGGTATATAATGACTAACACTATTTTTCTCACTGTCTGACAGAGAAGTTGTTGGACTAAGCTAAACTGAAATGTGATCTGAAGGAAGTTAATAACCTTATTCTATGCAAATATAGTTAATATAATATATAAGATTTAATGATATATTATTTTCCCCCTGTACACCATAAATTCTTCCAATTTCAACTTTTAAAAATGCTGTATATTAGAATTCCTAACCCAGGACTGAAATACGAAAATAAAACCTATGGTTGTGTATGTTGAATGCATACACAGGGATTCAAAATTTGCAAAAAGAATAGTGGTGTTACTTTGGACAACAAGCAACACCTGGACATTTGAGATCAACAGCAGTGATAAGGAGATGACTAGAAGATAGTCTAATGTGTATACCATATTGGATAGTTTGGCAACTTAATAAGCTTGTCAAGAAAGCTGATGTCTTTTCCAATAGAAAGGTCTCCTATTTCCAAGTGAATTAAAAGGGAGAGGCTTGATGATTTAATTATGACACATGCTAATTCATCCGTGGAAGTTTGGGTTCGATTTCGAGCAATAAAGACACGCTGAGGTTTGGTTTACACTGCAGTGACAGTACCCGTGTAACATTTAATCATCCAGGAGAAGTGGATGACAAAGGCAAGGCCCGGCATGAGTCCAATGTGTCCCTTAACTTTGCAAATGGCATTCTACCTGGAGAAAAGAATTTGTTTACTTTCGATGGGTACTGCATCTCAATTGTCTTGACCTTCCCCAACACATTAACTATAAAGTGATTAATGAAGTTTGAATGGAGGCTCTGGTTACACCAAAGGACAACCATACACCTCTGCATTGTCTTAATTAACAGCTAACACTTCAAATTAGTTTATTGTTGCCACAGTAATTACCTGTTCCAATGAGTGCATGAAAGAAGCATTTTTATGTGATATTTTTAGTGCTGAGTCCTTGAGTGTTCTGCTTTGTTTGTGACCAGCACAGACCTTCTGGGAATAGTCCCAGCCCTTAAAATTGAGCACACAACATATACACTTTAGGATGTCATGAACCAATAGCCTGGAATAAATTTTTTGAGTATTTAAAATACCAAGAAAATGAGTAAAATAGGGAACACTTACTATCCATATTTTCTTAAATTATTTTTTCATTTGGAACAAAAGATTTTAGATGAGTGACAAAAAGTTGGTATCGACCTTTAATTTTTTTGTACAGCATCAGATAATTTATTGTGCTCATAAGTCATATACAGAATTATCTAATCTAATCCTTACTTTTTACATTGTAAACACCCAAAAGCCAGGCTTAAAGAATGTGTCCAAATTTACAGTCAATGACAAGGCCAGGACTGGAACTGTGGCACAGTACATATATATTAGGACCTTAAGGAAATATATGGTGATGTTTAAGTTTTCTTAACTGTAGGTCAGGGAAATACTTAATTCAAAACTTACAAAGAAGGGGGCTCCTGGGTGGCTCAATGGATTAAAGCCTCTACCTTTGGCTCAGGTCATGATCCCAGGGTCCTGGGATAGAACCTTGCATCAGGCTCTCTGCTTGGCAGCCTGCTCCCACACCGACCCCTGCCTACCTCTCTGCCTACTTGTGATTTCTATCAAATAAATAAATAAAATCTTAAAAAAAAAAAAAAAACAACTTATAAAGATGCGATTTCCATTAGGCTTAGGGCCATCACATCTGAGTCTTTCCAGGCAAAGAAACATTCTGCAAGTACTGCTAATCTATCATGGGAGGCAGAAGAGCACAGGGTGTAGGTTCTAAGTCATTGCTCAGGTTCTAATCGCAGTTCTGCCACCACTTCTTTTTTTAAAGTTTTTATTTCAATTCCAGTTAGTTAACATAATATTAGTTTCAGGCATACAACACAGTGATTCAACATTTCCAAACACCTGGTGCTCATGATGAGTACACTACTTAATCACCATCATCTATTTAACCCACCCCCCTACCTCCGCTCTGGTAAGAACTAGTTTGTTCTCTACAGTTAAGAGTCTGTTTCTTGGTTTGCTTCTCTTCCCCCCACCCCCCCGCTTTGCTCATTTCTTTTGTTTCTTAAATTCAACACATGAGTGAAATCACAAGGTATTTGTCTTTCTTTCTTAGCATTATACTCTCTAGCTCCATCTATGTTGTTGCAAATGATAAGATTTCATTCTTCTTTATGACTGAGTAATATTGCATTGTGTATATATACCACATCTTTATCCATTCATCAATTGATGGACACTTGGGCTGTTCCATATCTTGGCTATTGGGAATAATGACGTTATAAACTTCAGGTGTGGGTATCCTGTTGGATTACTATTTTTGTATTCCTTGGGTAGATACCCAGTAGTGTGATTCCTAGATTGTAGGGTAGTTCTGTTTTTAACTTTTCGAGGAACATCCCTACTGTCTCCCATTGTGGCTGCAACTGTTTGCATTCCCATCAACAGTGCAAGAGGGCTCCTTTTTGTCTCTATTCTTGCCCAAACTTGTTTTTCTTGTATTGATTTTAGCCACTCCGACAGGTATGAGGCAATACCTCATTGTGGTGGTGGTGGTGGTGGTGTTTTTTAAGATTTTATTTGTTTATTTGACAGAGATCACAAGCAGGCAGAGAGGTAGGCAGAGGTGGGGAGGGGGGAAGCAGGCTCCCTGCTGAGCAGAGAGCCTGATGTGGGGCTCAACCCCAGGACCCTGGGATCATGACCTGAGCAGAAGGAAGAGGCTTTAACCCACTGAGCCACCCAGGTGCCCCCTCATTGTGGCTTTGATTTGCATCTTCCTGACAGTGAGTGATGTTGAGCATCTTTTCATGTGTCTCTTGGCCACCTGGATGTTGTCCCTGGAAAAATGTTTATATCTTCTGTCCATTTTAAAATTGATTATTTGGTTTTTGGGTGTTCAGTTGTAGAAGTTCTTTATATATTTTGGATACTAACCCCTTATTGAATCTGTCATTTGCAAAAATCTTCTCCCATTCTGTAGATTGCCTTTTAGTTTTGTTGATTGTTTGCTTTGCTGTGCAGAA